CCCCAAAACCCCAAAACCCCAAAACCCCAAAACCCCAAAACCCCAAAACCCCATTTTTGTGTCAGAAGATTGAATTGACTTCTGAATCAGAAATCCCTAACTTAAGCTTGGGAGTGAAGATAGCAAAATCAGAAAACTTAGATGTTACTTTTTCTTCTTGCCTTTCTTTCCCTTTTTACCCTTCTTTCCTTTCTTTCCGTCATCTTCTTTGTCACCATTCTCTGCTGCTTTCATTGCAGCTTGTCTCTTGTCATCCTTGGTGATGAAATCTGTGAACTTTCTGTAATCCTTGTACAGGTCATCTAGAGCACAATGCGTAAGTGAGAGTGGACCCATGAACTCAGAAAGCCTGAGAGGACGTGTCCTCAGCTGCTTGATCCTGTAATCAGTCAAAACATGCTTGCATGTTTTGTAGATTGATCCAGCAGAATAACCAACTGAGATATGTGCCAAGGTACTAAGCGGGAAGCCCTGTGTGACAGTTCCATTGCATTTCTCGATAAAGTCCTTCCATAAGTTCCTTCTTGTGGAGAAATCAGGGAAAGGGAAATAAATAGCTTGGTCCCACATTGCCCTCATATCCTTCTTCACAGCATTGTGGGGCTCGCTTGAACAACCAATGATCAAAATTCTATCCTTCTGGGGAAGCTTCTTCTTCCAAGCTATGATGGGTTTCTTGAGTCTGGAAGGAGCTCCTGGCTCACCCTTCTTCTTACCTTTCTTTCCCTTTTTACCCTTCTTTTTCTTCTGTGGGAATACTTTTTCACATTCGTCAATGTAGACAACGGCTGGCTGGAAATGTCTGGCACAAGCAAATACTGAAGCAACCATTTTGTTTTCACCGCCCTTCTCAGAGTACCTTCCTTGGATTGAGATTGGAGAGAGATCAAACACCATTGAAGCTGTCTCATGTACAACAGCATGAGCTACAAGTGTTTTACCAGATCCAGGGGGACCGTAGAACAATCATGACCTTACAAATTGAGCCCTGTCTTTTACAAGCTTAGATCCTAAGGGGAAGATACATATTTCAGTCACGAGCTGTCTAATCAAAGCCATTGATGGATCTTGAGGACCAACTGTCAAGTCATCCATCATTGAATGGAGGTAGTTGAAATCTCCTTTAAAGTTAGACAATTTCTGAGCTGGGAACTTCTTAGCAATTCCCATTTGAACCAATTCAGCAAGTAGATCTTCAACACAGCTCATTTTCTTTATCTGCTTGAGCCCAGGAATCTTCTTAGGCCAGTTAAGCCATTCAGGATCCTTCTTCTTTTTCTTCTTGCCTTTCTTTCCCTTCTTTTTCTTTCCTTTCTTCTTCTTTTTCTTTTCCTTGAAGCCAGCTTGGCTAATCTTAATATTCTCAAGCTCTAGCATTATCATTTCATCAACTTCCTTCTTGAACTCCTTCTGTATATCGGGTTTGACTTCATCCTTGACCATCTCAGTGTCATAGTCCTGGTCAAAATTATCTGTCTCATCCTTCGTAGCCCACTTATCATTGAAACCGTCTTGGAATTCTCCAAATTTCTGGACTTCTTCAGGTGGACCTACCATCTTGATGTCTTCCTTCTCGTCATCGTCTCCTTTCTTCTTCTTTCCTTTCTTCTTACCTCCAGCCTTCTTCTCTTTCTTGCCTTTCTTCTTCTTTTTGGCTTCTTCTTCCTCCATCATCTTCTTGAGCTCCTCTTCTTCGGGTGAAAGAGGGGCCTCGACTTCATCACGTTTGTAGAAGTCTTCAAGGGAAGTTGGGATGGCACCACCTTTGCGCTGGATCTCTTGGGTAATCCACTCACGACGTTCTTGGAGCATCGATTCTTGAATTTCAGGACCCTGACTTTCCTTTATTTCGTCCTTTAGATCAACCTTCGCGTTTTCGTAGTCCTTCATTTTCTCTATTTGGGTTGCTTTTCTGCCCTCACGAGTCTCTTCAGCCTTTTTGATAGGGTCCTGTGTCTTGTCAGTCAAATCCTTTGGTTTGGGAGCCATCCCAAGGAAGGAGAGCTCTTCATTACGGATTTGATCAATCCTCTTTCTGTCAACAATTCCTTTGAAAAGCTTCTGGAACATAATGCAGGACTCGTCTTTAGATGGTTTTTCTGATTGGATGTTGGCTCCGCCCTTCCCTCTTGAGTTTTCGTCCTCGTTCCCCCATCTATTGATGATATCGATGATACGATTTCGGTAGTTTCTTCCTCTTTCATGCTTCTGGATCATCCTGATTGCGTCAATGATATCCATATCAAAGGTGAAGGGATCATGAACTATCTCTAGCTCAGGCTCGTCGGTTCCACAGTAAGTTGACAGGAGTCCATCCAAAAGTTGTCTCTTTTGTTCAAGACTTGGAGGTGGCTCTTTGACCTCTTCTTCATCATCTTTAGCAGCCTTCTTTTTCTTCTTCTTTTTACCTTTCTTCTTTTTGGCCTTCTTCTCAGGTTGCTCCTTGAACTTTATATCTACTGGAATTTGATCATCTTCCTTGAAATATCTTGGGACAGGGATTTCAATCACAGAGGGATCATACTTAAGATCGAACAGAAGCTGATCAAGATGGATATAGATTGAACCTCTCCTAGGATTATAATCAGACAAATCCTTCTTAATAAGTGCAATCCTTGACATGACTGCTTCTAAGGCTGGCTTAATGGTAGCTCTCTTTTGAGGATGAACCATTTGGTCATAACATTCCTCTAGTTTCTTATAAATCTCAATGTATTTGATATACAACACAGCGAAGTGTTGAAAGAACTCTTCTGGTGGCCATTCTTCACAGTTTTCAACTCCAAGTTCATTTGGTTCTTTTGGGACCTGTTCAACTCTGACTTGTTCCTGCAGATCGTTCATAGCTTCAGCCCATTGCATCTGGTAGGCGTCGTGAGACATTTTTCTTATAAGCTAAATTATTATAGTTTATTTCAAATTAAATTTAAATTATAGGGGTTTTGGGGTTTTGGGGTTTTGGGGTTTTGGGGTTTTGGGG